ACTACTATCACGGCTAACACTGCAAGTGCACATATATTATATATATATATATATATATATTTTGAACATATTTTACCAAAACAAAATTCGAACCTTGTCCGAAAGAAATACATCAGTTACTAATGCCATTAGGCCCAAAGAGCCAATTGCGCATATATTTTATATTTTTGAAGATGTCAAAAGGTTGAAAATTGATACCTGCAGGTACAAACAGTATTGTCAATAAGCTAGAGGCTGAGTTAATTTGGTCCCTCTTGTCCTCGAAACAACGTAATAATAAACTAATAACCTAACTTAACTTATTTTGTGGGGGTGAGTATTTTCATGTGCAAGTCTTCCACGCTTTTTTTTTTTCTCTTTTTAAAAGTATAGTTATATTAATAATTAAATTAATTACAATGAAAACTATTTTTCTCTTTATAAATTGTGTAAAAAATATAAATAATTTATAACATTAATATATAAATTTTTGTATTTTTTATAAATAAAATAATTAAAAATTAAAAACTTCTAAAAATTAATATACACCTTAAAGATATCAATAAAATTATATATGAATATAAAAAAAATACTTTAAAACTTTATTATCACTATTAATAATCATATTTATTTTACTATTTAATGTTAACACGAGAAATCAGATAACTTAATGATGTAATGTCTCTCACACCACAATGCTCTATCCAAATTCAGGTAATCTATTAACTAGCAGACAAATGAGAGGTGTCCACCTACATGGCAAGTCTAGTGCCTGGGCCATCAAGTTTTGCTTTGGATGCCCTGCTTACACCAAGCATTGTAGGAACTATCTTCCTCTTCCTCTTCCTTTCCATCTTCTTTCTTGGTGGTTGAACTTGATTCCTTCCGAGCCTTTCCATGTCTTCTTCAAGCCATACTCCTCTCTCTTCACCAAATTTGCTATGTGATGAAGGGGAACATCTCCTTTAGTGGAGGTCGACTCATTTTGTAGGTCATTCTTTGCATTAGGAGAAACTTGCACAGAAGAGAGTCTAGGCTCTTCCACAGTCAGAGGCCCCCAGTAATCTCCAAGCACAGCTCACAATCAAGCACCAAATTGCTTCTCAACCTTGGAGCCCGGTTCCTTCAATCGAGACCCAATTTCACAATCATTTTCAATATGACCCATGCAATCGCAAATATAACAAAAATCCAAGAGACATTCATACTTAATGTGCAAACAAATGCGAACCCGCAAGGATTTAGCCTAATCCTTATCAATTTAATCACTCTGCCTAACTATTCTCCAAGCAAAAACCCAACCTTTTTAGATCATAAAACTAGAGGCAAATCATGTAGATGCACATAAAAAGGATTTGTTGAGAAATTATATTGCTTTAGAGTAAGAGTTCTATCAAATCTTTTAAGGATAACTAAAGGGTTGTTGAAGTTCCACGGAGCTTTTTGCATAACCTTGTCAAGATCGAGTCTATTAGCAAACTAAAACATGAATATTTTCTCCTCGATTTTAGTAACCTTCATACCACTTCTAGGCTTCCAGGAAACCGTCATGGCATTTTAAAGACTAGTTAAATTGATCATTTTCCTCAACAAGATTTTACATACCAAGCAAAGATTTTTTGTGCTACTAGGCACTGTCATCCATGCATCCACCAAAGAAATCACATCTCCTTCCTCTTCAAAAAATCTAGCTTTTTCAAGAATAGAACCTAATTCATCTGCTGTCATAATAACCAGCCCAAGCCCAAAACAATTGAATCATTTCCCCCATATTTTGTTCAAATCTAGGCTGAATAAGTGAAGAGCAAAGGACCTGAGACCCCTTCATCGCCTCCCTGTAACAGCAGCAATTATGGAATCATCGATGGAAACAAAGAGGAGAAGGCCTCAAGAAAGAGAAAGGAGAAAGAGAGGTGAAGGAAAGAACCCCTAATCAGGAAAGGGATCCAAGGGAAGAAAACTCACAGTCGCCCCTAAGAAACCCTAATGGTGCTTGAGCAGTTACAAAATTACTCTACTATGCAAGTTTTTAGCTTAAAACCATATTTGGTACTTAATTTTAAAATTATTTGTATAATATTTTAGATTTGATATTACTCAACTTGTTATCTAACTCAATGGTTTTTAGGTAACTTTTAGGTATATTTGTGTACTTATTAAATACTCCATTTGAATTTGGTCCTTCGGTCAAGTGGCTCTAGCTATGTTTGTAAAGGTTCATATCTCCCTGTCCAGGACAACAGTTCAAGCCGACCCAATGACAAAAATGTTCAAAAAAAAAATTAAATACTCCATTTATCTCAAAATAATTGTCATTTTTTTTTTACTTTAAGTTTGTCCAAATTAATTATCCTTTTTCATTATTTTTTTAAGGTAAACAAATACTCTTTTTTTACTTTAACTCTATAATTATCCATTTATTTTACTTAATTATCCTATCACAAAAAGTTTTTTTAAATCTTTAAGTTTTGTTTAAGAGTAATATAGTTAAATAAATAAATTGTTCTTAAATCCTTAATTTGAAAAAAAAAATACAATTATTATTTTGGAATAGAGAAAATAATGTTTTACTCTAAATTTCTATGTAAATTAAAATTTAATTAAACATCCAAATTAAAATCTAACAATAAAATATTTTGTATTATTTTCTAAACCTAAATAAAATTAGAAAAAATTCAATAGAAATTTGTTTACTCGAATCCGAACTTAAATATAATCTAAAAATCAAAATAATAATAGAGAAGGAAAAGTTGGTTTCACATTCTCTCTCTTTTCATTTTTCCTTTTTTCATGAAAATTTGAATAAGAAAACTAACATCTCTAACCCATGGAAAAGGGTCAAAACCACAATATTGTGAATAATGAGAGCAATAGCAAGAAAATCAAACGGGGTTACTCACAATTGACCTTAGAGTCTACGGGAAATGTCCATAAAGCCTTAAACGAGTTGTTGTCCGCGCGTGTGATCATTTTTCTGCTAAGGTTTTTTAATTAATTTTTATTTTTACTTTTATTTTTTATATTGTATTATTTTTATTTTTAAAAATTATTATTGTATAAATATTAAATTATTAACAACTAAATTATATAAATACAAATAACAAGTCAATTAAAAAAATCAAATAAATAAAATGAGTAAACAATTATAAATTTTTGTTCTT